TGGGGTGACCTCAAATAACTATACTGGTAAATTACTGGTGAAAATCTTTCTCTGAAAAAACAAAGTTACAGCCTAACTACAGCATAAGTCCCATGTCTGTCTTTCTGTACATCCAAGACAGAAAAGAAAAGACTTGCAACCTAAAACCTTAATGGAAACACATGTATGTGAAGCCAAAGTACGAAAGAAGATGTAACAATCAGGATAACTACACAAAGTAATAGAAATGAAGAAAAGTGTTCTTCTGAGAATAATGAATACAACTACAATAACTATTAGATTATACAGTGTCTGAAAATACAGGTATTGAATTACTATATGTTACATATTGCTATCTATTGTCACCCTTTGTTCTGTGACAGAAGTTCTTATTTTGAAAGAAGAAACTCATGAATCTAGAAGATAGGTCATAATATTGAGGCAAAAAAAAAAAGAAAATTACTGTCATTTACATTAGTGAAATAATGCTTCTGCCTTTACAGAACTTTAGGAAACAGTTATACTTATTTTCATGTGTATGATGCCTTCAGACTGTAAGAACACGTTACAATGTTTCAAAAAGAAAATAAAGTGTCTGATTTAGTTTCAGTACCTATCAAACTAATGTAAGTAAAAGGACCTCTAGGAAAATAAGCTAAATAAAGAGGTTAAACCCATACTTTCTCCAACACAATAAAAGGGAAATTTAATTATAAAATGTAGAGTTAAGTTCTAATCTATGGATATTATGAGGCTACAGTGCCTAATTGAAGACGTTTCATAAACCATTCACTAAGGAATTGAGACAATAAAATATGAATAACACTGAATTTCAACCTTGTTCACTTTAATAAATGCCTTGGCTCCAGAGTATTAAGTAAAAGACAGACAGTGACACTATCTTTGTTACTGCTATTTCATTCATGAACTTTAATTTTTCTTTTTTGTAAAACTGCTTGAAGTAAAATATTTCAGACCAATTTAAGTAACATTTTATGCTGTATCCAAGAAGCGCATGCATGTGTCCGTATTTTTATTGTAGTGAAAAAAACATGATCAGATTAATCCATCAGTATTGTAATAGATTTTTTTTGTTTCAGCTGCCAAACCCAAAATTTTCTCACAATCATATTCTGATTTACTAAGTCAATCCTACAAACTTTTTCTACTTTGAAAGAATATAGATTGCGATAAAAATAACTTTCAATTTTAATTTAAACTTAGCACAACAAAATTAGTGTTATTTTATAATTTCCACTAAATAATATGCTAAATCATAGAATCATAGAATGGTTAGAGTTGGAAGGGACCTCAAAGATCATCTAGTTCCAAGCCCCCTGCCTTGGGCAGGGACACCCTCCACCACACCAGGTTGCCCAAAGCCTCATCCAACCTGGCCTTGAACACTTCCAGGGATGGGGCATCTACAGCTTCTCTGGGCAACCTGTTTCAGTGCCTCATCGCCCTCAGAGTGGAGAATTTCTTTCTTTTATCCAATCTAAATCACATTGACCTCTGTTCCAGCTTCAGAAAAGATACTGTCTTTCCACATGCTATAGGTGATCATTCTAGCTAGACAATATCCAGAGAAATAACTGTAACAGTTTCTATTAAGATATTTTTATCTATGTTTTCAAAGTCTCATGCAATGATTTTCCAGAGAGAACCTGTTTGTATTCCTTTCAATAACGTCACACCAATCAACACATATACATATGCTCCTGCATTTTCTATTTTGCCTCACATACTGACGGATTAATTTGCCACCTAAGTTCTTGACATGAAAATATTTCTACTGTCACATATCAAAAAAGATTAATTATCGTAGGCAGTAAGAATACATATTCAAGAGCAAAAGGTCAGTAGGGAGCTTTGCTTAAGAATACTGCTAGAAGGATTGAGTAGGAATTTGATTAAATACTGGGGTAAGGCTTAAACTCTGGTAATTTGAATGAGACCTGGAGTATATGGGTCTTGAAGAATGTGATTCAGCATGCTCTCTCTCAAACATATTTTACTGTCAGGGTCTGCCACTGCAGGTTGGCATAGATTGGCATAGATTGGGAGGTTTATTGTTTGGTTGTTGGTTTTTTGTGTTCTTTTTGTGAGACTGGCAAAAACCTTATGAGATTATTGCCAAGAAATAAAGAAATGCACAGGTGTGGGTCTATAAGAATTGAAAATTGCCAGTTAGACATAACTGAAAACATAAAAGGGAGCTAGAAGGGAAGAGATGGTTGGGAGTGTGTACTCAGAACCTGACAGAGTTGCCACTTTTATTTCTTCTTGCTGATCTTCAGCTTGAAGCAGTAGGTACCTCAAACAGTATTTTTATGCTGTTACCCCAGGGTGATAAAATGTTAGATTAAAAAATTTAGAAACAATCTGAGAATATGGAAATGAGCCTTTTTATTTAAAAGTAGTACGAAGTGCTACGTGGGACAAAACTGGTTGTACTGAGTAGTTCCACTACAGAGTGGTTATGCATGAGTGTCCTGGGAGGGCAGATAAGCTTTGCTCGCATGGCCAAGCTAGAGCTGGGTTAAGTGTGAACACTAATGGACTGGAAGAAAGAAGCATTAGTTAGACTAACTTTATATATTAGAAAAGACATTTAATTTCCTCATTGCAAAGTGTATCAGTGGTCCTCCAAATTTTATTATTAGAATCTTTGCTTAAATAATAGAAAAAATTTTGGAGCAACTTCTTCTTACAAAATTTTAATGCTATTTCACATTAATAAGAGCATAAATCTCAGTTTGCAAAAGTGCTGCTTTACAGGCAATGCTTTCTCAATGAACGTGGCTAGAAATCTCATCATTAGCATGCCCAGACTGTATCCTGAATACAACAGCTTTGTATCTAAAATGCTGGTATTTTGCTATAAAAGAAGAGCACAGGAGCCTACAGAAGACAGCATGACTATTACAGCAAACACTGGCACCTAATGTCGTATATGACAGCTGAGATCCTAGCAAGAATATACGTATGACACAATGGGATGATATTTTATTAATGAAAATGCTAGAGGTCAGAGTAAGGCACATCTCTGAATTTTTTTCTCTCTCCTTCCCCATTAATACATGGACTATAACTTCTCCTCTTGTTTACTGTAACACTTACTGCATTCCTTATATTTTTTTCATAGCCTAAATCTTTTCAACGCCAATACCTAGCTTCAATCTCATTCTGAAAACACACTGACAGAGTTTGCGAACTTTAACTTCGAGGACTTCTCGCAAGGATTCGCACACTCTGTAACTCTCATTTCTTGGTATTAGTTCTCCTGGAAAATCTCTTACTGATTTGTCTTTTACATAACACAAGAAACATAAGAATGGATGATCTTTAATTTTCTTGGTTTGCAAAGAAAGTGCCTATGACAAAGATCAGTCTGACTTAGGTGATGACTTGCAGTTGACTCATCTTTCTTTTCTCTCACAGTCGTTTGGCAAGTGACTATCTTTAGCTACTAGGCTGTCTGGGGATTTTTGCTGGTCTGCACTGTTTATATCAGACCCACAGTAAGCGCTGGTGCACTGCAGTTTTACTATACCAAAGTTGGTGTTCAACAGACTTCGGAGTGAAATGGATAAAACGTGGTGGTAGGCACATACTTACGAAGAACTTAGGACAACTGAGAAGATGACATTGCAAATTTAGTTTATATGGTATTTTTTCTGTGTAGAAAGGCAAATGCATATATGTTCTGCGTAGGAAAGGGTCTGTGTAGATTACTGAATAGGTACAATTCAGTGTATATTTAAACTACATGTCTGTATTCAAAAGTATGTGACGGAAATTAACACAAAGCATTTTTTATTCTGTGTAAATTATTTTCTTAATTGACTTTCCTATTTTTACCTTAAGTACTAAAATAACTGATACACGTAGCAATTACTGATAACTGTAGAACATCTTCAGATTTGTAGTTGAGATGGCTTGCTAAATCTAAAGAATGCAATGCAATTCCTATGTGCTTCTCCACTAATTAATTCTACTTTTGTGGGAGTCATTTTGGACTGTTTAGAATGTATGAAAGTCATGGGAGAAAAAGTGGTCTCACCTATGTCTCCCATCACATTTCCCAAACCTATCACCTCTAAGACTTTTGTGCTAAATGTGATCATATCTTGCACCTCCAACCTAGCATGGAGGTAGATGGGGCAGCTTTACCCCTGTATAGGCATCTATATCATCTGTCCTTTCTTGGATTTCTGAAGTCTATGTTCACCACCAGCCTGACTCCTGTCTGATCTGGGATCACTCTGTTTTCTCACATCTTTCCACATCCCATAAAGCCTCTTCTGCTCCCCTCTTCTATTTCTTAATCAATTCTGCCTTTGCCCAGACACTTGCAAATTATTTTATTCCGAAAACAATTCGGTACACCATTTGAGAATTTTCAAAAGGTGCTATCACATATTTTTGTTCCCAGACAAAGTAACATCTGATTGAAGTAGAACATAGTACATTTAAGGGTGAAATCTTGTCCTCGCTCAGCTGTATGGCAAATGACATTTATTTCAAGGGTCACATGGCTGCATCTAGATTAAACAGCAGACTCATGATATGGGTAGCAGCCTTCATCTCACCGTTATTCAGATTAAATCCAAGGCACAAGGGAAAGTTGGGTCTGTTGTAACCTTGCCTTTTGCCTTGATAAGAGATGAGGATATGTGTAGACTACTTATCCAGGCCCTGAGGTTTGGAAGGCTGCATGAGTCCCTTGCTTTAGAAAACATCGAAACTGAATGTACTTACCACGTTATATACAAAATCTGCTATTTTTGTAATATGTCTTGCTAACCCTTCTGACCTTGCTAACAGTCATTTCCTCTGGGACTGTAGCATGATAGATACATACTGTTACTTAGAGCCTTACAAGTCTTGTGTACTTATTAAAAGGCTGGAATTTTGTCGTCTTATTTATACAAATTACATATATAAATTTATATATAATTACATTCCTCCTACTTTACACATACATGATATCCAGAAAAGGCATGCTGTGTACTTACTCTTGTGTTGTTTCTTTCAGCTTTCAGTTCTGATATCTCCTCTTCTTTTTCAAGAAGCTGTTCCCTGCATGCATTTAATTCCTTTGTCAGTGCAGCAAATTCCTGTGGAATAAAATTATATATGAAGTTACTCAAGATGTAAGCACTGGGATAACCAAATCCATATGCATTCTAGAGTTTGAGGATTTAAATATTTAGGAATCATCAACACAAACTAAAATGGCATGTACAACCATCAGCATCTATTAAATCCATTTAAAGTTGAATATACCTAATAAAAAGTTCTAATTTAAGTCTAGAAACAAAAGAAGGTTCAAGAGGATGGCAACATCCCTCATATGTAAGCTTTCAGAATGACATCAGAAGAAGAACAGAATTGGCCTATTTCATAGCAACAGAGACACCACATTTCACACACAATGAAGTTCAACTCAACATATCCACTTAGCGAGTGGTCTTGCCTCTCTGTAAGACAGCTGTTGCAATATGGCATGGGAGAAAAAAGTTAAGGTATTCACTGATTAAATTCTCTCTAATATCAGATTAATATATGTAATATGTGCATTGTTAAAAAAATACTCTCATTATTTTTACTTGATATTTAAATTTAACTGTTAAAATGTATTTGAATCATAGAATCATAGAATCATAGAATCATAGAATCACAGAATGGTTAGGGTTGGAAGGGATCTCAAAGATCATCTAGTTCCAATCCCCCTGCCATGGGCAGAGAAATCCTCCACTACACCAGGTTGCCCAAAGCCTCATCCAACCTGGCCTTGAACATTTCCAGGGATGGGGCATCTACAACTTCTCTGGGCAACCTGTTCCAGTGCCTCACCACTCTCAGAGTGAAAAATTTCTTCCTTATATCTAATCTAAATTTGCCCTCTTTCAGTTTAAAGCCATTACCCCTTGTCCTATCACTCCTCAACCTTGTAAAAAGTCCCTCTCCAGCTTTCCTGTAGGCTCCCTTTAAGTACTGGAAGGCTATTTAAGCACTATAGTGAAAGGCTGTGATGAGTCAGAGCAATATTCATGTTTTTTAGTTTGGAGTGAGTTTCCTATGAAATAACAACATAAAATGAAACTGGATTTTAAGTTGCTCCCGATGGTGTTATACATGCAACTAATAGGTTTTCTGAAAAACACATTTTCCAGTTATCAAAATTCCTATTAAAATGTCTTGATTTTACCATTGCTTTTACTCTTCAATTGTATACATAAATTTTTGTCTATACAAAGGACAGTCACAGATTTGTCATTCATTTCAATAATGAAAAGGTTTCACTCCATATTTTTTATTTTTGACAGGTACAACATATACTAAACCATAGTGGTTAATTTTACCCCTTATAGCAAAAAAATGCTACAAGAAAATAGTGAGGCAAAGGATGCAAAGCCTTTGAAATTTGCGATCATGTGTCAGGAAAAAAAAGACATCTTGATGAACAGCATTGCTGCTTAACAGAGACATATACATATTTTTAAATATTAAGTTAATTTTAGTTTGATCAGAATAGTCAGTGCTTAAGAGCAAGCAGCCAGAGTTAAACTGAAGCCATTCCTAATTCCCCACTTACCCCTAAAAAGAAAGCAGTTTAAGAAAAAAACACATCCAGGTGGTTTATCTGATCAGCCAGTTGGATGAAGCCGAGACTAAATCTACTTATTTAAGACAAAAGCTAGAAATGATCTCAAAACAGCTTGGTTAGCTACTTCACCTTGAGCTGCTGAAAGCAGCTTTTATCTGAACTAAAGTGCTGTTTAACAGAAATTTGGCAGGTATTCCTAGGCTCAATCTGTTCTAATCAAGTTTCTAAATAGTTAATGGCATATGGTATTATTAATAATATATTAAAAGTATTCAAATAGATTTCAAGTGATATTCTGACAATGTGTAATTAAGTGTTACACAGTTAAAAGGGTGGTGTTTTTTCCATTTTTCAGCAGCAGGAACTCAATTCACAGTAAACCTCCATGCAAATTGCATGGTAGTAAGGAAAGTGTTGTTCTGATACCCTCAGTGGATTTCATTTTAGAGATCATCTGTTTATCACATGGACCATGTAGTGATGTTTCGTATCATACCTCCTAATCAGCATTTTCATTCTACACCTTAATGGTCAAGAACTTGTAAGGTTATGCAGCATACTTTGATGTTAAAGCCCTTAACTTAGCTTTGAAAATGAGATTTAAATTTTAAAACTCTCATCTCACTTTTAAAAAGTATCACTAAAACTTCTGCCTGTAGGTCTTACTCTAGGATTCACAAACTGCCAGTCCAGCAGTGTTATTTATTCCAGAATTTTGTTTAAAAACCTCCTGTTCTTAAGGTTTTAAATAATGTTACGTACCAAATTAAAAAAACTTATTTAATAGAAAGCAAACGATCTCAAGTCAGACTGAATCAGAATTCTGAAGTACAAAACCACACTACCCTATTTTTATTTTTTTTTCATATTGCTCTAAGAGAAACTTTATAGCGCTACAGGGCAGAACTCTTGTTACTAATCTACATACAGTTTATATACATGAATAAGTGTCTGTAATACTTTCAGAATCCCACAGAATAAAGTTTCTATATAATCTATGTAGGACGTTGTTGTTATTTACTTCTCATTTCTTTGTATTGCTTCGGTTGGACAATAGATGTTTTGGCATATGCTTGGACATCCAGATGGGTGACAGGTGGTGAAAAGGATAACAAGTATCATCTGGTGACTTACAGTTCCAGTTTCTAACTACAGTAAGGCAAAGCAGTCTGATAACATGCTTTTGTTGCTTTGCTTGGAACAGAAAAAGATACGAGTTTATCAGATTGTACATTCTTTGCTGTGCCAAGGCAAGCTTGCTACCAGCAGTACAGTCAATGCTTTGGTCAATATCATCTCAAATACTTAAGGAATGGAATTCGTACTAGTTTGCTGAGCAGAATGGAACTTATTCTTAGGGAAATTTTCTTTGGTCATTAGCTGAAGTTTTCCCTTGCTTAAAAACAAATCATTACTCAAAATTCTACTTCCAGAGAGTCCTATACCTAACACAGCATCCTCTCACCCTTGAAAGATCTTCAGATTATATTCATAATGACTGTTAGCAACCACTTTAGCTGGGCTACCTTGTCCAGTATTTTTGACCTTTTTACTTGAGTCATTGACACAGTCTCTTCAAGCCTTTTAATTATTCAGTTGCTTCTGCTCTGTCAAATTCCTCTGTGCTCTTGACATATCTGCAGTACTAGCATTTATAACAAGCAGTCACCTCTTCATACCTCTGGAGCTAAAGTGACCAAATTTCTCTCTTCATCTGAAGTGATAGAAAGTGCTCAGTCATCAAGAGCTTTGACTTCTCAGTTGTCAAGAGCTTTGACTTCTCTGAATTGAAAGATGACAGAAAGAGGTGTTTTTTTTCTCGGTGTTTATATCAGAAGCCTTTTACAGGGAAAGTCTCAAAGTAAAACTGAGTTTGCCCTGGAGCTTTACAAATTATTATTTCTGTCACATCTGCTTTGATGAATTAATGTCTAAGATAAAACCTCATAACTTCCAAAACAAAAAGTAAAACTAATTTTAAATATACCTTTTTCATCCAAGGTATCCCTGAGATATGACAACATAATGCTCCAGGGAATGCATTTCTCCGACAGGTTAGAATCAAAGTAAAGCATATTTTTGTTTTACTCAGTCATGTAATAAACAATATGTGATGATAATGACCTCTGCTCTTGCAGTTCCCTCCTATGTATACAGGGATCGAGGGAATACTGTCTTCTGAAATTATTATTTGCAGCAGAAATCTTGCATGGTCAGTCATACTCTGGAAGCCCTGAGGGTAGTATCTGTTGCATAATTAACACGATTTGACAGGCACAACTGCACTCTCAAAGCTTATGTAGAAGTCGTGTGGTTATAAAGCTAATTAAGAACTGAAGTGAATTATAACTATATGAAAATTATTCAGTTGACTGCAGTTTTTATACTATACTACGACATCAGGACACTAAAAAAATTATTTCATAATAGACAACCCAAGAAAGAGCATTTTTTTTTCAATCTGAATAAATATAACCTCAGAGCCTATCCTAACTGCTGTTTCTCTTTCTGTCTTAGCACTTGGACTATAACACTCACTCTGACTGAAAAACAGCTGACTCAAAATGATGGCTCTTCATTTAGATCATGTTTAACTTCGAAGAGAGTGCAGAAGCCTTGAAAACAAATCCAACAGAAATTTGCAGGCCCTGAAAGGACTGCTAGGAGTTACAAATAAAAAAAAGCCAAGGACTCCCCTTGGTAAAGCAACTGAGATACAGTCAGAGCAGAGGCTGGAGGGTGCCCGGGAGAGTGGGAGGCCATCGGGACAGGCAGGCTGACAGTGCTGCCAGATGTGTTGGCAGCAGGGCTGTGCTGGGAAGGCATACCACAGCTCCCTTGCCATTAAATCTCTGCCTGTAGGGGCTGGCTTAGCAAATGCTGCTTGCTTTACTTATTGTTCCCAGAAAAGACCCGTGAGGTTTATTTTTTATGACCTAATATAAATTCTGAGACCTCCTAGCTGCAACGCGCAACTGTTCAGCCTGTGTATGCAGTCCAGTACAGAGTGAGTTTAAAAGAAAATATAACCAGCCTCTCCCCATCCCCACAAATAAAATAGCTACTGAAAGGAGAAATTTTGTGAGGAAAAAAAAAAATCCATAAAATTGAGGTTCAGAGACACTGGGGAGATTCATCTTAAAATCTCCTCTGGATTTTCCATCTTGGAACCACAGTACATTTCAGGAATGAATCAATGAACTACTCTCTGCATGGAGAACGAATGGTAATGCTTTATCAATCTATTTTACATTCAACACAAGCTGTGTCAACCGATTTGCTTTCCTACAAGTTTAGATGTAACTCATTTAACATAGAAAATTACTATCTACTATAATTCCCTTGAAATTTTAACTTTTCTTTTATTATGTTTTCATCCAATCCAATTCTGTGCAAAAATTGTACCTTCTTTCTTTTCTTATTATTCCTTCATCAGAAATATTGTTGGAAATTCTCCACACTTTTTAAATGGCCAAGGATTTATTTTAGCAATTTTGCCATTACCAG